AAAAAAAAGTGTTTTGTCAAATCGAAAACACGCACCATGTATTTGAGGGCATACATCAATTGATGAGGATCCCGGTAACAGTCCATATTGTGCCCGTCTTTTGAGATCAAACTGATAGCATCGGCTGTCACTCGGATGTAATAGGTCACTCTGAATTATCAAAAAAATGAATGATAAAACATCCGCGAAACATACTTTCCAACGACGTAATCGAAATTTCGATTTGTCATTATCACCATAAACTGCGAACTGATCGGAGAACAGCGAAGCCACCGCCAGTGCATCTTAATGTAGGAAATTACAGAGGAATCACGTAAAAAGCAAGCTTCATTCTAACCTGAGGATCGCGAGTCGCGCTCATAAATTCCTCCAACGTTTCACGAGCCATCTTCACCAAAGAATAGTGGGATGCCACTGTGATCAGTTTCTCCAACAAGAACTGAGGCTTATAAGCTCTGCTTTCTATCTGAAAGGCATACTCTGAGATGTTATATGCACCTTGCTACTGCCTCCAACACGAAAATTGTGAGAAACAAAGAACGGAAAAAGCCTAAAACTGCTCTACACTGGATTGCTTGACATATAAAAAATGGCTACAATATCCATCAACGCGCAAAAAATACTCATTGAAAATAACTTGAATCAAAGCTAAATGGCCACCTCTCGTGCAGTAAATGCTCTTGGACCACGTGCATCGAGAGCTTCACTAAGGGTTGTCAACGGCAGCGACACAAACGTTTGCGGACGGACCCATCGTGTACATTCTTGCGCGACCATCATTTCCCTCAGAGATCTGTTAAGGTAAGGACATCCTTCCTCAGCAAGTTCGCCCTCCTGTAGGCAAGAAAACATGACGTTCATCTAGCATTTGCTTCGCAGTAACGAAAACTAACTTTGAAAGGATGATATTTCAACTCCACCCGCAAAAGATATTCATTATATAGCCTGACAAGAAGCACACCGTCACGAACTGTTGATAAACGATTTCTCAATTGTACAGCATCGGAGCATAACTGAAAATGCACGACTATGAGATATGAGATAGGACACCTCGTAAACGAACTTAAGGTAATCTCTTGCTTACAGTGTTGAAGATATCCTTGCATATAAGTGTCTCTTGTGCCCATTTCAACGCATCTGCCCAATGTATTGACTCTATTTTACTGCTATCCACCTTCATATACTCAAATTGATGATCGTCGAGGCTAGCAAACAGATCGCGATTAGTGTAATCATCTAAAATAATGAGACATAGAAAAAATAAATAGGGAGTCCATAAAAGGGGAAGAGAGTGTACCTTTCACAATGGTCACAGCTAGGGTCGAGCGTCGGGTGAGATCACGAGGCACGGAAACCCAAAGAACTGCATTTCGGACCACTAAAATGAATTTTCAAATCATTACGAACCTGCAAAACAGATGTGTTTGTGTCGAATGACGTTCCAGGTGTAAGAGACCTCTTTGTGATGTCGAACAGCTCTCTGGCATTATATTTCGAGCCGACTAAACACTTGTAAGTGACCGAATTGTGATCATGGACACACAAATTGCTAGGTTACAAAAAGTACTACAGGTTCGGGAGGACTATTTTTTGAGCTCTTCACAAATTATTTAAAAACTGTAGCGCCTACTATCTCAGTAGTTAAAGGCAGTGGTTTTTCACATTTTCGGGGCCTTCTCGCCAGGAAGAACCTTTTTCGCGCATGAAAAGGCGAAAATGAGCCTTTTTGAGCTTTCAAGGTCCGCATTCAGCAGAAAGTTAGTGCGCGACACGCGGAAGACTTTCGGCATATTTCCTCTGAATGCGAAACTGGAAAGCTTTTAAAAAGGCTCATTTTCCCGAGTTTTATGCACGCAAAACACCGGACATAAGGTTCCCCATGGCGGAACCCGAAAATATGGAAAAAAAATGGAACGAAATTCTGCCTGGACACTGCATTCAAGATTAGATAAAATGGCGTCTTTCGCACCCTCCAATATTCACGCATTTTTGTCAAC